TCTGGTTTAACCTTATCTTCAATTGTGTCACTAGCTTTATCATCTGGTTTAACTCATCTTCAACAGTCTCACTGGTCTTTTCATCAGCTACATCTTGTTCTTTGGGTATTTCTATTTCTTTTGTTGGTTTTCTTGAATCCTTATCAATATCTGTTGACTCCTCGTCACTGCTTGATGAGCTTGAATGAGAAGATTTTGAACTTTTTGAAGACGAGCTTGATGAACTTTCCTTTCTAAAAATCCTTTTAAGAGGCGATTTTGACTCGCTGCCTTCTTCAGTTTCCTTTGCTTTTTCTTCATCACTGCTTGTACCAGAGTCACTTTTTGTGCTAAATTTTGGTGATGCAGATGAAGTAATTTCCTTTTCAACAACAATTAACTCTTCAGTTGGTGTGGTTTTATCACCTGCATCAATTACTTTTTCGGTTGGTGTGGTTTCATCACCTGCATCAGTTTGCTTGTCTGGTGCTTCAGTGATAATTTGTTCTTCAACTATTGTGTCTGTAGGTTCAGGTACAACCACTTGAGCATTGTCCCCGGGCTTATCTTCTTCCAGTTCTGGTTTCACTTCTTCAGTGTCACTGATTTTACCTGAGACATCACCCTCACTTCCATCATCTGGTTGAACCTTATCTTCAGTTGTGTCACTGGTTTTATCATCTGATTTAACCTCATCTTCAACAGTCTCACTAGTCTTCTCATCAGCTACATCTTGTTCTACGGGTGTTTCTGGTTCTTTAGTTGGTTTTCTTGAATCCTTATCATCATCTGTTGACTCCTCGTCACTGCTTGATGAGCTTGAATGAGAAGATTTAGAACTCTCTGAAGAAGAGCTTGATGAACTTTTTTTTCTGAAAAACCTTTTAACAGGCGATTTTGACTCGCTGTCTTCTTCACTTTCTTTTGCCTTTTCCTCATCACTGCTTGTACCAGAATCACTTTTTGTGCTAAATGTTGGTAATGCAGATGAAATAATTTCCTTTTCAACAACAATTACCTCTTCAGTTGGTGTGGTTTTATCACCTGCATCAGTTTCTTTTTCTGGTGTTTGAGTAATAGTTTGTTCTTCAACAATTGTTTCTGTAGGTTCAGGTACAACCACTTCAGCATTATCTATATGCTGATCTTCTTCCAGGTCTGGTTTCACTTCTTCAGTGTCACTGATTTTACCTGAGACATCACCCTCACTACCATCATCTGGTTTAACCTTATCTTCAATTGTGTCACTAGCTTTATCATCTGGTTTAACCTCATATTCAACTGACTCACTGGCGTTATCATCTGATTTAACCTCATCTTCAACAGTCTCACTAGTCTTTTCATCAGCTACTTCTTGTTCTTCGGGTGCTTCTGGTTCTTTAGTTGGTTTTCTTGAATCCTTATCATCATCTGTTGACTCCTTGTCACTGCTTGATGAGCTGGAATGAGAAGATTTTGAACTTTTTGAAGACGAGCTTGATGAACTTTTCTTTCTAAAAATCCTTTTAAGAGGCGATTTTGACTCGCTGCCCTCTTCAGTTTTCTTTGTTTTTTCATCATCACTGCTTGTACTGGAGTCACTTTTCGTGCTAAATTTTGGTGATGCAGATGAAATAATTTCCTTTTCAACAACAATTACTTCTTCAGTTAGTGTGGTTTTATCACCTGCATCAGTTTCTTTTTCTGGTGTTTGAGTAATAGTTTGTTCTTCAACAATTGTTTCTGTAGGTTCAGGTACAACCACTTCAGCATTATCTATATGCTGATCTTCTTCCAGTTCTGGTTTCACTTCTTCAGTGTCACTGATTTTACCTGAGACATCACCCTCACTGCCATCATCTGGTTTAACCTTATCTTCAATTGTGTCACTAGCTTTATCATCTGGTTTAACCTCATCTTCAACAGTCTCACTGGTCTTTTCATCAGCTACATCTTGTTCTTTGGGTATTTCTATTTCTTTTGTTGGTTTTCTTGAATCCTTATCAATATCTGTTGACTCCTCGTCACTGCTTGATGAGCTTGAATGAGAAGATTTTGAACTTTTTGAAGACGAGCTTGATGAACTTTCCTTTCTAAAAATCCTTTTAAGAGGCGATTTTGACTCGCTGCCTTCTTCAGTTTCCTTTGCTTTTTCTTCATCACTGCTTGTACCAGAGTCACTTTTTGTGCTAAATTTTGGTGATGCAGATGAAGTAATTTCCTTTTCAACAACAATTAACTCTTCAGTTGGTGTGGTTTTATCACCTGCATCAATTACTTTTTCGGTTGGTGTGGTTTCATCACCTGCATCAGTTTGCTTGTCTGGTGCTTCAGTTTTAATTTGTTCTTCAACTATTGTGTCTGTAGGTTCAGGTACAACCACTTCAGCATTATCACCGGGCTTATCTTCTTCCAGTTCTGGTTTCACTTCTTCAGTGTCACTGATTTTACCTGAGATATCACCCTCACTTCCATCATCTGATTGAACCTTATCTTCAGTTGTGTCACTGGTTTTATCATCTGGTTTAACCTCATATTCAACTGACTCACTGGCGTTATCATCTGATTTAACCTCATCTTCAACAGTCTCACTAGTCTTTTCATCAGCTATTTCTTGTTCTTCGGGTGTTTCTGGTTCTTTAGTTGGTTTTCTTGAATCCTCATCATCATCTGTTGACTCCTTGTCACTGCTTGATGAGCTTGAATGAGAAGATTTGGAACTTTTTGAAGACGAGCTTGATGAACTTTTTTTTCTGAAAAATCTTTTAACAGGCGATTTTGACTCGCTGCCCTCTTCAGTTTTCTTTGTTTTTTCATCATCACTGCTTGTACTGGAGTCACTTTTCGTGCCAAATGTTGGTGATGCAGATGAAATAATTTCCTTTTCAAAAACAATTACTTCTTCAGTTAGTATGGTTTTATCACCTGCATCAGTTTCTTTTTCTGGTGTTTGAGTAATAGTTTGTTCTTCAACAATTGTTTCTGTAGGTTCAGGTACAACCACTTCAGCATTATCTATATGCTGATCTTCTTCCAGGTCTGGTTTCACTTCTTCAGTGTCACTGATTTTACCTGAGACATCACCCTCACTACCATCATCTGGTTTAACTTTATCTTCAATTGTGTCACTAGCTTTTTCATCTGGTTTAACCTCATCTTCAACAGTCTCACTGGTCTTTTCATCAGCTACATCTTGTTCTTTGGGTGTTTCTATTTCTTTTGTTGGTTTTCTTGAATCCTTATCATCATCTGTTGACTCCTCGTCACTGCTTGATGAGCTTGAATGAGAAGATTTTGAACTTTTTGAAGACGAGCTTGATGAACTTTTCTTTCTAAAAATCCTTTTAAGAGGCGATTTTGACTCGCTGCCTTCTTCAGTTTCCTTTGCTTTTTCTTCATCACTGCTTGTACCAGAGTCGCATTTTGTGCTAAATTTTGGTGATGCAGATGAAGTAATTTCCTTTTCAACAACAATTAACTCTTCAGTTGGTGTGGTTTTATCACCTGCATCAATTACTTTTTCGGTTGGTGTGGTTTCATCACCTGCATCAGTTTGCTTGTCTGGTGCTTCAGTGATAATTTGTTCTTCAACTATTGTGTCTGTAGGTTCAGGTACGACCACTTCAGCATTGTCACCGTGCTTATCTTCTTCCAGTTCTGGTTTCACTTCTTCAGTGTCACTGATTTTACCTGAGACATCACCCTCACTTCCATCATCTGGTTGAACCTTATCTTCAGTTGTGTCACTGGTTTTATCATCTGATTTAACCTCATCTTCAACAGTCTCACTAGTCTTTTCATCAGCTATTTCTTGTTCTTCGGGTGTTTCTGGTTCTTTAGTTGGTTTTCTTGAATCCTTATCATCATCTGTTGACTCCTCGTCACTGCTTGATGAGCTTGAATGAGAAGATTTAGAACTCTCTGAAGAAGAGCTTGATGAACTTTTTTTTCTGAAAAACCTTTTAACAGGCGATTTTGACTCGCTGTCTTCTTCACTTTCTTTTGCCTTTTCCTCATCACTGCTTGTACCAGAATCACTTTTTGTGCTAAATGTTGGTGATGCAGATGAAATAATTTCCTTTTCAACAACAATTACCTCCTCAGTTGGTGTGGTTGTATCACCTGCATCAATTACTTTTTCTGGTGTTTCAGTAATAATTTGTTCTTCAACAATTGTTTCTGTAGGTTCAGGTACAACCACTTCAGCATTATCTATATGCTGATCTTCTTCCAGGTCTGGTTTCACTTCTTCAGTGTCACTGAGTTTACCTGAGACATCACCCTCACTACCATCATCTGGTTTAACCTTATCTTCAATTGTGTCACTAGCTTTATCATCTGGTTTAACCTCATCTTCAACAGTCTCACTGGTCTTTTCATCAGCTACATCTTGTTCTTTGGGTGTTTCTATTTCTTTTGTCGGTTTTCTTGAATCCTTATCATCATCTGATAACTCCTCTTCACTGCTTGATGAGCTTGAATGAGAAGATTTTGAACTTTTTGAAGACGAGCTTGATGAACTTTTCTTTCTAAAAGTCGTTTTAAGAGGCGATTTTGACTCGCTGCCTTTTTCGGTTTCCTTTGCTTTTTCCTCATCACTGCTTGTACCAGAGTCACTTTTTGTGCTAAATTTTGGTGATGCAGATGAAGTAATTTCCTTTTCAACAACAATTAATTCTTCAGTTGGTGTGGTTTTATCATCTGCATCAATTACTTTTTCGGTTGGTGTGGTTTCATCACCTGCATCAGTTTGCTTGTCTGGTGCTTCAGTGATAATTTGTTCTTCAACTATTGTGTCTGTAGGTTCAGGTACAACCACTTCAGCATTAACACTGGGCTTATATTCTTCCAGTTCTGGTTTCACTTCTTCAGTGTCACTGATTTTACCTGAGACATCACCCTCACTACCATCATCTGGTTTAACCTTATCTTCAATTGTGTCACTAGCTTTATCATCTGGTTTAACCTCATCTTCAACAGTCTCACTGGTCTTTTCATCAGCTACATCTTGTTCTTTGGGTGTTTCTATTTCTTTTGTTGGTTTTCTTGAATCCTTATCATCATCTGTTGACTCCTCATCACTGCTTGATGAGCTTGAATGAAAAGATTTTGAACTTTTTGAAGATGAGCTTGATGAACTTTTCTTTCTAAAAATCCTTTTAAGAGGCGATTTTGACTCGCTGCCTTCTTCAGTTTCCTTTGCTTTTTCTTCATCACTGCTTGTACCAGAGTCGCTTTTTGTGCTAAATTTTGGTGATGCAGATGAAGTAATTTCCTTTTCAACAACAATTAACTCTTCAGTTGGTGTGGTTTTATCACCTGCATCAATTACTTTTTCGGTTGGTGTGGTTTCATCACCTGCATCAGTTTGCTTGTCTGGTGCTTCAGTGATAATTTGTTCTTCAACTATTGTGTCTGTAGGTTCAGGTACAACCACTTCAGCATTGTCCCCGGACTTATCTTCTTCCAGTTCTGGTTTCACTTCTTCAGTGTCACTGATTTTACCTGAGACATCACCCTCACTTCCATCATCTGGTTGAACCTTATCTTCAGTTGTGTCACTGGTTTTATCATCTGATTTAACCTCATCTTCAACAGTCTCACTAGTCTTCTCATCAGCTACATCTTGTTCTTCGGGTGTTTCTGGTTCTTTAGTTGGTTTTCTTGAATCCTTATCATCATCTGTTGACTCCTCGTCACTGCTTGATGAGCTTGAATGAGAAGATTTAGAACTCTCTGAAGAAGAGCTTGATGAACTTTTTTTTCTGAAAAACCTTTTAACAGGCGATTTTGACTCGCTGTCTTCTTCACTTTCTTTTGCCTTTTCCTCATCACTGCTTGTACCAGAATCACTTTTTGTGCTAAATGTTGGTGATGCAGATGAAATAATTTCCTTTTCAACAACAATTACCTCTTCAGTTGGTGTGGTTTTATCACCTGCATCAGTTTCTTTTTCTGGTGTTTCAGTAATAATTTGTTCTTCAACAATTGTTTCTGTAGGTTCAGGTACAACCACTTCAGCATTAACACTGGGCTTATATTCTTCCAGTTCTGGTTTCACTTCTTCAGTGTCACTGATTTTACCTGAGACATCACCCTCACTTCCATCATCTGGTTGAACCGTATCTTCAGTTGTGTCACTGGTTTTATCATCTGGTTTAACCTCATATTCAACTGACTCACTGGCGTTATCATCTGATTTAACCTCATCTTCAACAGTCTCACTAGTCTTTTCATCAGCTACTTCTTGTTCTTCGGGTGCTTCTGGTTCTTTAGTTGGTTTTCTTGAATCCTTATCATCTGTTGACTCCTTGTCACTGCTTGATGAGCTGGAATGAGAAGATTTTGAACTTTTTGAAGACGAGCTTGATGAACTTTTCTTTCTAAAAATCCTTTTAAGAGGCGATTTTGACTTGCTGCCCTCTTCAGTTTTCTTTGTTTTTTCATCATCACTGCTTGTACTGGAGTCACTTTTCTTGCTAAATTTTGGTGATGCAGATGAAATAATTTCCTTTTCAACAACAATTACTTCTTCAGTTAGTGTGGTTTTATCACCTGCATCAGTTTCTTTTTCTGGTGTTTGAGTAATAGTTTGTTCTTCAACAATTGTTTCTGTAGGTTCAGGTACAACCACTTCAGCATTATCTATATGCTGATCTTCTTCCAGTTCTGGTTTCACTTCTTCAGTGTCACTGATTTTACCTGAGACATCACCCTCACTACCATCATCTGGTTTAACCTTATCTTCAATTGTGTCACTAGCTTTATCATCTGGTTTAACCTCATCTTCAACAGTCTCACTGGTCTTTTCATCAGCTACATCTTGTTCTTTGGGTGTTTCTATTTCTTTTGTTGGTTTTCTTGAATCCTTATCATCATCTGTTGACTCCTCGTCACTGCTTGATGAGCTTGAATGAAAAGATTTTGACCTTTTTGAAGACGAGCTTGATGAACTTTTCTTTCTAAAAATCCTTTTAAGAGGCGATTTTGACTCGCTGCCTTCTTCAGTTTCCTTTGCTTTTTCTTCATCACTGCTTGTACCAGAGTCACTTTTTGTGCTAAATTTTGGTGATGCAGATGAAGTAATTTCCTTTTCAACAACAATTAACTCTTCAGTTGGTGTGGTTTTATCACCTGCATCAATTACTTTTTCGGTTGGTGTGGTTTCATCACCTGCATCAGTTTGCTTGTCTGGTGCTTCAGTTTTAATTTGTTCTTCAACTATTGTGTCTGTAGGTTCAGGTACAACCACTTCAGCATTATCACCGGGCTTATCTTCTTCCAGTTCTGGTTTCACTTCTTCAGTGTCACTGATTTTACCTGAGATATCACCCTCACTTCCATCATCTGATTGAACCTTATCTTCAGTTGTGTCACTGGTTTTATCATCTGGTTTAACCTCATATTCAACTGACTCACTGGCGTTATCATCTGATTTAACCTCATCTTCAACAGTCTCACTAGTCTTCTCATCAGCTACATCTTGTTCTTCGGGTGTTTCTGGTTCTTTAGTTGGTTTTCTTGAATCCTTATCATCATCTGTTGACTCCTCGTCACTGCTTGATGAGCTTGAATGAGAAGATTTAGAACTCTCTGAAGAAGAGCTTGATGAACTTTTTTTTCTGAAAAACCTTTTAACAGGCGATTTTGACTCGCTGTCTTCTTCACTTTCTTTTGCCTTTTCCTCATCACTGCTTGTACCAGAATCACTTTTTGCGCTAAATGTTGGTGATGCAGATGAAATAATTTCCTTTTCAACAACAATTACCTCTTCAGTTGGTGTGGTTTTATCACCTGCATCAGTTTCTTTTTCTGGTGTTTCAGTAATAATTTGTTCTTCAACAATTGTTTCTGTAGGTTCAGGTACAACCACTTCAGCATTATCTATATGCTGATCTTCTTCCAGGTCTGGTTTCACTTCTTCAGTGTCACTGATTTTACCTGAGACATCACCCTCACTACCATCATCTGGTTTAACCTTATCTTCAATTGTGTCACTAGCTTTATCATCTGGTTTAACCTCATCTTCAACAGTCTCACTGGTCTTTTCATCAGCTACATCTTGTTCTTTGGGTGTTTCTATTTCTTTTGTCGGTTTTCTTGAATCCTTATCATCATCTGATAACTCCTCGTCACTGCTTGATGAGCTTGAATGAGAAGATTTTGAACTTTTTGAAGACGAGCTTGATGAACTTTTCTTTCTAAAAATCCTTTTAAGAGGCGATTTTGACTCGCTGCCTTTTTCGGTTTCCTTTGCTTTTTCCTCATCACTGCTTGTACCAGAGTCACTTTTTGTGCTAAATTTTGGTGACGCAGATGAAGTAATTTCCTTTTCAACAACAATTAATTCTTCAGTTGGTGTGGTTTTATCATCTGCATCAATTACTTTTTCGGTTGGTGTGGTTTCATCACCTGCATCAGTTTGCTTGTCTGGTGCTTCAGTGATAGTTTGTTCTTCAACTATTGTGTCTGTAGGTTCAGGTACAACCACTTCAGCATTAACACTGGGCTTATTTTCTTCCAGTTCTGGTTTCACTTCTTCAGTGTCACTGATTTTACCTGAGACATCACCCTCACTTCCATCATCTGGTTGAACCTTATCTTCAGTTGTGTCACTGGTTTTATCATCTGATTTAACCTCATCTTCAACAGTCTCACTAGTCTTCTCATCAGCTACATCTTGTTCTTCGGGTGTTTCTGGTTCTTTAGTTGGTTTTCTTGAATCCTTATCATCATCTGTTGACTCCTCGTCACTGCTTGATGAGCTTGAATGAGAAGATTTAGAACTCTCTGAAGAAGAGCTTGATGAACTTTTTTTTCTGAAAAACCTGTTAACAGGCGATTTTGACTCGCTGTCTTCTTCACTTTCTTTTGCCTTTTCCTCATCACTGCTTGTACCAGAATCACTTTTTGCGCTAAATGTTGGTGATGCAGATGAAATAATTTCCTTTTCAACAACAATTACCTCTTCAGTTGGTGTGGTTTTATCACCTGCATCAGTTTCTTTTTCTGGTGTTTCAGTAATAATTTGTTCTTCAACAATTGTTTCTGTAGGTTCAGGTACAACCACTTCAGCATTATCTATATGCTGATCTTCTTCCAGGTCTGGTTTCACTTCTTCAGTGTCACTGATTTTACCTGAGACATCACCCTCACTACCATCATCTGGTTTAACCTTATCTTCAATTGTGTCACTTGCTTTATCATCTGGTTTAACCTCATCTTCAACAGTCTCACTGGTCTTTTCATCAGCTACATCTTGTTCTTTGGGTGTTTCTATTTCTTTTGTCGGTTTTCTTGAATCCTTATCATCATCTGATAACTCCTCGTCACTGCTTGATGAGCTTGAATGAGAAGATTTTGAACTTTTTGAAGACGAGCTTGATGAACTTTTCTTTCTAAAAATCCTTTTAAGAGGCGATTTTGACTCGCTGCCTTTTTCGGTTTCCTTTGCTTTTTCCTCATCACTGCTTGTACCAGAGTCACTTTTTGTGCTAAATTTTGGTGATGCAGATGAAGTAATTTCCTTTTCACAACAATTAATTCTTCAATGGGTTTGGTTTTATCACCTGCATCAATTACTTTTTCGGTTGGTGTGGTTTCATCACCTGCATCAGTTGCTTGTCTGGTGCTTCAGTGATAATTTGTTCTTCAACTATTGTGTCTGTAGGTTCAGGTACAACCACTTGAGCATTGTCCCCGGGCTTATCTTCTTCCAGTTCTGGTTTCACTTCTTCAGTGTCACTGATTTTACCTGAGACATCACACTCACTTCCATCATCTGGTTGAACCTTATCTTCAGTTGTGTCACTGGTTTTATCATCTGATTTAACCTCATCTTCAACAGTCTCACTAGTCTTCTCATCAGCTACATCTTGTTCTTCGGGTGTTTCTGGTTCTTTAGTTGGTTTTCTTGAATCCTTATCATCATCTGTTGACTCCTCGTCACTGCTTGATGAGCTTGAATGAGAAGATTTAGAACTCTCTGAAGAAGAGCTTGATGAACTTTTTTTTCTGAAAAACCTTTTAACAGGCGATTTTGACTCGCTGTCTTCTTCACTTTCTTTTGCCTTTTCCTCATCACTGCTTGTACCAGAATCACTTTTTGCGCTAAATGTTGGTGATGCAGATGAAATAATTTCCTTTTCAACAACAATTACCTCTTCAGTTGGTGTGGTTTTATCACCTGCATCAGTTTCTTTTTCTGGTGTTTCAGTAATAATTTGTTCTTCAACAATTGTTTCTGTAGGTTCAGGTACAACCACTTCAGCATTATCTATATGCTGATCTTCTTCCAGGTCTGGTTTCACTTCTTCAGTGTCACTGATTTTACCTGAGACATCACCCTCACTACCATCATCTGGTTTAACCTTATCTTCAATTGTGTCACTAGCTTTATCATCTGGTTTAACCTCATCTTCAACAGTCTCACTGGTCTTTTCATCAGCTACATCTTGTTCTTTGGGTGTTTCTATTTCTTTTGTTGGTTTTCTTGAATCCTTATCATCATCTGATAACTCCTCGTCACTGCTTGATGAGCTTGAATGAGAAGATTTTGAACATTTTGAAGACGAGCTTGATGAACTTTTCTTTCTAAAAATCCTTTTAAGAGGCGATTTTGACTCGCTGCCTTTTTCGGTTTCCTTTGCTTTTTCCTCATCACTGCTTGTACCAGAGTCACTTTTTGTGCTAAATTTTGGTGATGCAGATGAAGTAATTTCCTTTTCAACAACAATTAATTCTTCAGTTGGTGTGGTTTTATCATCTGCATCAATTACTTTTTCGGTTGGTGTGGTTTCATCACCTGCATCAGTTTGCTTGTCTGGTGCTTCAGTGATAATTTGTTCTTCAACTATTGTGTCTGTAGGTTCAGGTACAACCACTTCAGCATTAACACTGGGCTTATATTCTTCCAGTTCTGGTTTCACTTCTTCAGTGTCACTGATTTTACCTGAGACATCACCCTCACTTCCATCATCCGGTTGAACCGTATCTTCAGTTGTGTCACTGGTTTTATCATCTGGTTTAACCTCATATTCAACTGACTCACTGGCATTATCATCTGATTTAACCTCATCTTCAACAGTCTCACTAGTCTTTTCATAAGCTATATCTTGTTCTTCGGGTGTTTCTGGTTCTTTAGTTGGTTTTCTTGAATCCTTATCATCATCTGTTGACTCCTTATCACTGCTTGATGAGCTGGAATGAGAAGATTTGGAACTTTTTGAAGACGAGCTTGATGAACTTTTCTTTCTAAAAATCCTTTTAAGAGGCGATTTTGACTCGCTGCCTTCTTCAGTTTCCTTTGCCTTTTCCTCATCACTGCTTGTACCAGAATCACTTTTTGTGCTAAATGTTGGTGATGCAGATGAAACAATTTTCTTTTCAACAACAATTACCTCTTCAGTTGGTGTGGTTTTATCACCTGCATCAGTTTCTTTTTCTGGTGTTTCAGTAATAATTTGTTCTTCAACAATTGTTTCTGTAGGTTCAGGTACAACCACTTCAGCATTATCTATATGCTGATCTTCTTCCAGGTCTGGTTTCACTTCTTCAGTGTCACTGATTTTACCTGAGACATCACCCTCACTACCATCATCTGGTTTAACCTTATCTTCAATTGTGTCACTAGCTTTATCATCTGGTTTAACCTCATCTTCAACAGTCTTACTGGTCTTTTCATCAGCTACATCTTGTTCTTTGGGTGTTTCTATTTCTTTTGTTGGTTTTCTTGAATCCTTATCATCATCTGTTGACTCCTCGTCACTGCTTGATGAGCTTGAATGAGAAGATTTTGAACTTTTTGAAGACGAGCTTGATGAACTTTTCTTTCTAAAAATCCTTTTAAGAGGCGATTTTGACTCGCTGCCTTCTTCAGTTTCCTTTGCTTTTTCTTCATCACTGCTTGTACCAGAGTCGCTTTTTGTGCTAAATTTTGGTGATGCAGATGAAGTAATTTCCTTTTCAACAACAATTAACTCTTCAGTTGGTGTGGTTTTATCACCTGCATCAATTACTTTTTCGGTTGGTGTGGTTTCATCACCTGCATCAGTTTGCTTGTCTGGTGCTTCAGTGATAATTTGTTCTTCAACTATTGTGTCTGTAGGTTCAGGTACAACCACTTCAGCATTGTCACCGGGCTTATCTTCTTCCAGTTCTGGTTTCACTTCTTCAGTGTCACTGATTTTACCTGAGACATCACCCTCACTACCATCATCTGGTTTAACCTTATCTTCAATTGTGTCACTAGCTTTATCATCTGGTTTAACCTCATCTTCAACAGTCTTACTGGTCTTTTCATCAGCTACATCTTGTTCTTTGGGTGTTTCTATTTCTTTTGTTGGTTTTCTTGAATCCTTATCATCATCTGTTGACTCCTCGTCACTGCTTGATGAGCTTGAATGAGAAGATTTTGAACTTTTTGAAGACGAGCTTGATGAACTTTTCTTTCTAAAAATCCTTTTAAGAGGCGATTTTGACTCGCTGCCTTCTTCAGTTTCCTTTGCTTTTTCCTCATCACTGCTTGTACCAGAGTCACTTTTTGTGCTAAATTTTGGTGATGCAGATGAAGTAATTTCCTTTTCAACAACAATTAACTCTTCAGTTGGTGTGGTTTTATCACCTGCATCAATTACTTTTTCGGTTGGTGTGGTTTCATCACCTGCATCAGTTTGCTTGTCTGGTGCTTCAGTGATAATTTGTTCTTCAACTATTGTGTCTGTAGGTTCAGGTACGACCACTTCAGCATTGTCACCGTGCTTATCTTCTTCCAGTTCTGGTTTCACTTCTTCAGTGTCACTGATTTTACCTGAGACATCACCCTCACTTCCATCATCTGGTTGAACCTTATCTTCAGTTGTGTCACTGGTTTTATCATCTGATTTAACCTCATCTTCAACAGTCTCACTAGTCTTTTCATCAGCTATTTCTTGTTCTTCGGGTGTTTCTGGTTCTTTAGTTGGTTTTCTTGAATCCTTATCATCATCTGTTGACTCCTCGTCACTGCTTGATGAGCTTGAATGAGAAGATTTTGAACTTTTTGAAGACGAGCTTGATGAACTTTTCTTTCTAAAAATCCTTTTAAGAGGCGATTTTGACTCGCTGCCTTCTTCAGTTTCCATTGCCTTTTCCTCATCACTGCTTGTACCAGAATCACTTTTTGTGCTAAATGTTGGTGATGCAGATGAAATAATTTTCTTTTCAACAACAATTACCTCTTCAGTTGGTGTGGTTTTATCACCTGCATCAGTTTCTTTTTCTGGTGTTTCAGTAATAATTTGTTCTTCAACAATTGTTTCTGTAGGTTCAGGTACAACCACTTCAGCATTATCTATATGCTGATCTTCTTCCCGGTCTGGTTTCACTTCTTCAGTGTCACTGATTTTACCTGAGACATAACCCTCACTACCATCATCTGGTTTAACCTTATCTTCAATTGTGTCACTAGCTTTATCATCTGGTTTAACCTCATCTTCAACAGTCTCACTGGTCTTTTCATCAGCTACATCTTGTTCTTTGGGTGTTTCTATTTCTTTTGTCGGTTTTCTTGAATCCTTATCATCATCTGATAACTCCTCTTCACTGCTTGATGAGCTTGAATGAGAAGATTTTGAACTTTTTGAAGACGAGCTTGATGAACTTTTCTTTCTAAAAGTCGTTTTAAGAGGCGATTTTGACTCGCTGCCTTTTTCGGTTTCCTTTGCTTTTTCCTCATCACTGCTTGTACCAGAGTCACTTTTTGTGCTAAATTTTGGTGATGCAGATGAAGTAATTTCCTTTTCAACAACAATTAATTCTTCAGTTGGTGTGGTTTTATCATCTGCATCAATTACTTTTTCGGTTGGTGTGGTTTCATCACCTGCATCAGTTTGCTTGTCTGGTGCTTCAGTGATAATTTGTTCTTCAACTATTGTGTCTGTAGGTTCAGGTACAACCACTTCAGCATTAACACTGGGCTTATATTCTTCCAGTTCTGGTTTCACTTCTTCAGTGTCACTGATTTTACCTGAGACATCACCCTCACTTCCATCATCTGGTTGAACCGTATCTTCAGTTGTGTCACTGGTTTTATCATCTGGTTTAACCTCATATTCAACTGACTCACTGGCGTTATCATCTGATTTAACCTCATCTTCAACAGTCTCACTAGTCTTTTCATAAGCTATTTCTTGTTCTTCGGGTGTTTCTGGTTCTTTAGTTGGTTTTCTTGAATCCTTATCACCATCTGTTGACTCCTTGTCACTGCTTGATGAGCTGGAATGAGAAGATTTTGAACTTTTTGAAGACGAGCTTGATGAACTTTTTTTTCTGAAAAATCTTTTAAGAGGCGATTTTGACTTGCTGCCCTCTTCAGTTTTCTTTGTTTTTTCATCATCACTGCTTGTACTGGAGTCACTTTTCGTGCTAAACTTTGGTGATGCAGATGAAATAATTTCCTTTTCAACAACAATTACTTCTTCAGTTAGTGTGGTTTTATCACCTGCATCAGTTTCTTTTTCTAGTGTTTGAGTAATAGTTTGTTCTTCAACAATTGTTTCTGTAGGTTCAGGTACAACCACTTCAGCATTATCTATATGCTGATCTTCTTCCAGGTCTGGTTTCACTTCTTCAGTGTCACTGACTTTACCTGAGACATCACCCTCACTACCATCATCTGGTTTAACCTTATCTTCAATTGTGTCACTAGCTTTATCATCTGGGTTTAACCTCATCTTCAACAGTCTCACTGGTCTTTTCATCAGCTACATCTTGTTCTTTGGGTGTTTCTATTTCTTTGTCGGTTTTCTTGAATCCTTTATCATCATCTGATAACTCCTCGTCACTGCTTGATGAGCTTGAATGAGAAGATTTTGAACTTTTTGAAGACGAGCTTGATGAACTTTTCTTTCTAAAAATCCTTTTAAGAGGCGATTTTGACTCGCTGCCTTTTTCGGTTTCCTTTGCTTTTTCCTCATCACTGCTTGTACCAGAGTCACTTTTTGTGCTAAATTTTGGTGATGCAGATGAAGTAATTTCCTTTTCAACAACAATTAATTCTTCAGTTGGTTTGGTTTTATCATCTGCATCAATTACTTTTTCGGTTGGTGTGGTTTCATCACCTGCATCAGTTTGCTTGTCTGGTGCTTCAGTGATAATTTGTTCTTCAACTATTGTGTCTGTAGGTTCAGGTACAACCACTTCAGCATTAACACTGGGCTTATATTCTTCCAGTTCTGGTTTCACTTCTTCAGTGTCACTGATTTTACCTGAGACATCACCCTCACTTCCATCATCCGGTTGAACCGTATCTTCAGTTGTGTCACTGGTTTTATCATCTGGTTTAACCTCATATTCAACTGACTCACTGGCGTTATCATCTGATTTAACCTCATCTTCAACAGTATCACTAGTCTTTTCATAAGCTATTTCTTGTTCTTCGGGTGTTTCTGGTTCTTTAGTTGGTTTTCTTGAATCCTTATCATCATCTGTTGACTCCTTATCACTGCTTGATGAGCTGGAATGAGAAGATTTGGAACTTTTTGAAGACGAGCTTGATGAACTTTTTTTTCTGAAAAATCTTTTAAGTGGCGATTTTGACTCGCTGCCCTCTTCAGTTTTCTTTGTTTTTTCTTCATCACTGCTTGTACTGGAGTCACTTTTCGTGCTAAATTTTGGTGATGCAGATGAAATAATTTCCTTTTCAACAACAATTACTTCTTCAGTTAGTGTGGTTTTATCACCTGCATCAGTTTCTTTTTCTGGTGTTTGAGTAATAGTTTGTTCTTCAACAATTGTTTCTGTAGGTTCAGGTACAACCACTTCAGCATTATCTATATGCTGATCTTCTTCCAGGTCTGGTTTCACTTCTTCAGTGTCACTGATTTTACCTGAGACATCACCCTCACTACCATCATCTGGTTTAACCTTATCTTCAATTGTGTCACTAGCTTTATCATCTGGTTTAACCTCATCTTCAACAGTCTCACTGGTCTTTTCATCAGCTACATCTTGTTCTTTGGGTGTTTCTATTTCTTTTGTCGGTTTTCTTGAATCCTTATCATCATCTGATAACTCCTCGTCACTGCTTGATGAGCTTGAATGAGAAGATTTAGAACTCTCTGAAGAAGAGCTTGATGAACTTTTTTTTCTGAAAAACCTGTTAACAGGCGATTTTGACTCGCTGTCTTCTTCACTTTCTTTTGCCTTTTCCTCATCACTGCTTGTACCAGAATCACTTTTTGCGCTAAATGTTGGTGATGCAGATGAAATAATTTCCTTTTCAACAACAATTACCTCTTCAGTTGGTGTGGTTTTATCACCTGCATCAGTTTCTTTTTCTGGTGTTTCAGTAATAATTTGTTCTTCAACAATTGTTTCTGTAGGTTCAGGTACAACCACTTCAGCATTATCTATATGCTGATCTTCTTCCAGGTCTGGTTTCACTTCTTCAGTGTCACTGATTTTACCTGAGACATCACCCTCACTACCATCATCTGGTTTAACCTTATCTTCAATTGTGTCACTAGCTTTATCATCTGGTTTAACCTCATCTTCAACAGTCTCACTGGTCTTTTCATCAGCTACATCTTGTTCTTTGGGTGTTTCTATTTCTTTTGTCGGTTTTCTTGAATCCTTATCATCATCTGATAACTCCTCGTCACTGCTTGATGAGCTTGAATGAGAAGATTTTGAACTTTTTGAAGACGAGCTTGATGAACTTTTCTTTCTAAAAATCCTTTTAAGAGGCGATTTTGACTCGCTGCCTTTTTCGGTTTCCTTTGCTTTTTCCTCATCACTGCTTGTACCAGAGTCACTTTTTGTGCTAAATTTTGGTGATGCAGATGAAGTAATTTCCTTTTCAACAACAATTAATTCTTCAGTTGGTGTGGTTTTATCATCTGCATCAATTACTTTTTCGGTTGGTGTGGTTTCATCACCTGCATCAGTTTGCTTGTCTGGTGCTTCAGTGATAATTTGTTCTTCAACTATTGTGTCTGTAGGTTCAGGTACAACCACTTCAGCATTAACACTGGGCTTATATTCTTCCAGTTCTGGTTTCACTTCTTCAGTGTCACTGATTTTACCTGAGACATCACCCTCACTTCCATCATCCGGTTGAACCATATCTTCAGTTGTGTCACTGGTTTTATCATCTGGTTTAACCTCATATTCAACTGACTCACTGGCGTTATCATCTGATTTAACCTCATCTTCAACAGTCTCACTAGTCTTTTCATAAGCTATTTCTTGTTCTTCGGGTGTTTCTGGTTCTTTAGTTGGTTTTCTTGAATCCTTATCATCATCTGTTGACTCCTTATCACTGCTTGATGAGCTGGAATGAGAAGATTTGGAACTTTTTGAAGACGAGCTTGATGAACTTTTTTTTCTGAAAAATCTTTTAAGTGGCGATTTTGACTCGCTGCCCTCTTCAGTTTTCTTTGTTTTTTCATCATCACTGCTTGTACTGGAGTCACTTTTCGTGCTAAATTTTGGTGATGCAGATGAAATAATTTCCTTTTCAACAACAATTACTTCTTCAGTTAGTGTGGTTTTATCATCTGCATCAGTTTCTTTTTCTGGTGTTTGAGTAATAGTTTGTTCTTCAACAATTGTTTCTGTAGGTTCAGGTACAACCACTTCAGCATTATCTATATGCTGATCTTCTTCCAGGTCTGGTTTCACTTCTTCAGTGTCACTGATTTTACCTGAGACATCACCCTCACTACCATCATCTGGTTTAACCTTATCTTCAATTGTGTCACTAGCTTTATCATCTGGTTTAACCTCATCTTCAACAGTCTCACTGGTCTTGTCATCAGCTACATCTTGTTCTTTGGGTGTTTCTATTTCTTTTGTTGGTTTTCTTGAATCCTTATCATCATCTGTTGACTCCTCGTCACTGCTTGATGAGATTGAATGAGAAGATTTTGAACTTTTTGAAGACGAGCTTGATGAACTTTTCTTTCTAAAAATCCTTTTAAGAGGCGATTTTGACTCGCTGCCTTCTTCAGTTTCCTTTGCTTTTTCTTCATCACTGCTTGTACCAGAGTCGCTTTTTGTGCTAAATTTTGGTGATGCAGATGAAGTAATTTCCTTTTCAACAACAATTAACTCTTCAGTTGGTGTGGTTTTATCACCTGCATCAATTACTTTTTCGGTTGGTGTGGTTTCATCACCTGCATCAGTTTGCTTGTCTGGTGCTTCAGTGATAATTTGTTCTTCAACTATTGTGTCTGTAGGTTCAGGTACAACCACTTCAGCATTGTCACCGGGCTTATCTTCTTCCAGTTTTGGTTTCACTTCTTCAGTGTCACTGATTTTACCTGAGACATCACCCTCACTTCCATCATCTGGTTGAACCGTATCTTCAGTTGTGTCACTGGTTTTATCATCTGATTTAACCTCATCTTCAACAGTCTCACTAGTCTTTTCATCAGCTATTTCTTGTTCTTCGGGTGTTTCTGGTTCTTTAGTTGGTTTTCTTGAATCCTTATCATCATCTGTTGACTCCTCGTCACTGCTTGATGAGCTTGAATGAGAAGATTTAGAACTCTCTGAAGAAGAGCTTGATGAACTTTTTTTTCTGAAAAACCTTTTAACAGGCGATTTTGACTCGCTGTCTTCTTCACTTTCTTTTGCCTTTTCCTCATCACTGCTTGTACCAGAATCACTTTTTGTGCTAAATGTTGGTGATGCAGATGAAATAATTTCCTTTTCAACAACAATTACCTCCTCAGTTGGTGTGGTTTTATCACCTGCATCAGTTTCTTTTTCTGGTGTTTCAGTAATAATTTGTTCTTCAACAATTGTTTCTGTAGGTTCAGGTACAACCACTTCAGCATTATCTATATGCTGATCTTCTTCCAGGTCTGGTTTCACTTCTTCAGTGTCACTGATTTTACCTGAGACATCACCCTCACTACCATCATCTGGTTTAACCTTATCTTCAATTGTGTCACTAGCTTTATCATCTGGTTTAACCTCATCTTCAACAGTCTCACTGGTCGTTTCATCAGCTACATCTTGTTCTTTGGGTGTTTCTATTTCTTTTGTCGGTTTTCTTGAATCCTTATCATCATCTGATAACTCCTCGTCACTGCTTGATGAGCTTGAATGAGAAGATTTTGAACTTTTTGAAGACGAGCTTGATGAACTTTTCTTTCTAAAAATCCTTTTAAGAGGCGATTTTGACTCGCTGCCTTTTTCGGTTTCCTTTGCTTTTTCCTCATCACTGCTTGTACCAGAGTCACTTTTTGTGCTAAATTTTGGTGATGCAGATGAAGTAATTTCCTTTTCAACAACAATTAATTCTTCAGTTGGTGTGGTTTTATCATCTGCATCAATTACTTTTTCGGTTGGTGTGGTTTCATCACCTGCATCAGTTTGCTTGTCTGGTGCTTCAGTGATAATTTGTTCTTCAACTATTGTGTCTGTAGGGTTCAGGTACAACCACTTCAGCATTAACACTGGGCTTATATTCTTCCAGTTCTGGTTTCACTTCTTCAGTGTCACTGATTTTACCTGAGACATCACCCTCACTTCCATCATCTGGTTGAACCGTATCTTCAGTTGTGTCACTGGTTTTATCATCTGGTTTAACCTCATATTCAACTGACTCACTGGCGTTATCATCTGATTTAACCTCATCTTCAACAGTCTCACTAGTCTTTTCATAAGCTATTTCTTGTTCTTTGGGTGTTTCTGGTTCTTTAGTTGGTTTTCTTGAATCCTTATCACCATCTGTTGACTCCTTGTCACTGCTTGATGAGCTGGAATGAGAAGATTTGGAACTTTTTGAAGACGAGCTTGATGAACTTTTTTTTCTGAAAAATCTTTTAAGAGGCGATTTTGACTTGCTGCCCTCTTCAGTTTTCTTTGTTTTTTCATCATCACTGCTTGTACTGGAGTCACTTTTCGTGCTAAATTTTGGTGATGCAGATGAAATAATTTCCTTTTCAACAACAATTACTTCTTCAGTTAGTGTGGTTTTATCACCTGCATCAGTTTCTTTTTCTGGTGTTTGAGTAATAGTTTGTTCTTCAACAATTGTTTCTGTAGGTTCAGGTACAACCACTTCAGCATTATCTATATGCTGATCTTCTTCCAGGTCTGGTTTCACTTCTTCAGTGTCACTGATTTTACCTGAGACATCACCCTCACTACCATCATCTGGTTTAACCTTATCTTCAATTGTGTCACTAGCTTTATCATCTGGTTTAACCTCATCTTCAACAGTCTCACTGGTCTTTTCATCAGCTACATCTTGTTCTTTGGGTGTTTCTATTTCTTTTGTTGGTTTTCTTGAATCCTTATCATCATCTGTTGACTCCTCGTCACTGCTTGATGAGCTGGAATGAGAAGATTTTGAACTTTTTGAAGACGAGCTTGATGAACTTTTCTTTCTAAAAATCCTTTTAAGAGGCGATTTTGACTCGCTGCCTTCTTCAGTTTCCTTTGCTTTTTCTTCATCACTGCTTGTACCAGAGTCACTTTTTGTGCTAAATTTTGGTGATGCAGATGAAGTAATTTCCTTTTCAACAACAATTAACTCTTCAGTTGGTGTGGTTTTATCACCTGCATCAATTACTTTTTCGGTTGGTGTGGTTTCATCACCTGCATCAGTTTGCTTGTCTGGTGCTTCAGTTTTAATTTGTTCTTCAACTATTGTGTCTGTAGGTTCAGGTTCAACGACTTCAGCATTATCACCGGGCTTATCTTCTTCCAGTTCTGGTTTCACTTCTTCAGTGTCACTGATTTTACCTGAGATATCACCCTCACTTCCATCATCTGATTGAACCTTATCTTCAGTTGTGTCACTGGTTTTATCATCTGGTTTAACCTCATATTCAACTGACTCACTGGCGTTATCATCTGATTTAACCTCATCTTCAACAGTCTCACCGGTCTTTTCATCAGAATTTTCTTGTTCTTCGGGTGTTTCTGGTTCTTTAGTTGGTTTTCTTGAATCCTTATCATCATCTGTTGACTCCTCGTCACTGCTTGATGAGCTGGAATGAGAAGATTTGGAACTTTTTGAAGACGAGCTTGATGAACTTTTTTTTCTGATAAATCTTTTAAGTGGCGATTTTGACTCGCTGCCCTCTTCAGTTTTCTTTGTTTTTTCTTCATCACTGCTTGTACTGGAGTCACTTTTCGTGCTAAATTTTGGTGATGCAGATGAAATAATTTCCTTTTCAACAACAATTACTTCTTCAGTTAGTGTGGTTTTATCACCTGCATCAGTTTCTTTTTCTGGTGTTTGAGTAATAGTTTGTTCTTCAACAATTGTTTCTGTAGGTTCAGGTACAACCACTTCAGCATTATCTATATGCTGATCTTCTTCCAGGTCTGGTTTCACTTCTTCAGTGTCACTGATTTTACCTGAGACATCACCCTCACTACCATCATCTGGTTTAACCTTATCTTCAATTGTGTCACTAGCTTTATCATCTGGTTTAACCTCATCTTCAACAGTCTCACTGGTCTTTTCATCAGCTACATCTTGTTCTTTGGGTGTTTCTATTTCTTTTGTCGGTTTTCTTGAATCCTTATCATCATCTGATAACTCCTCGTCACTGCTTGATGAGCTTGAATGAGAAGATTTTGAACTTTTTGAAGACGAGCTTGATGAACTTTTCTTTCTAAAAATCCTTTTAAGAGGCGATTTTGACTCGCTGCCTTTTTCGGTTTCCTTTGCTTTTTCCTCATCACTGCTTGTACCAGAGTCACTTTTTGTGCTAAATTTTGGTGATGCAGATGAAGTATTTCCTTTTCACACATTAATTCTTCAGTGGTGTGGTTTATCATCTGCATCAATTACTTTTCGGTTGGTGTGGTTCATCACTGCATCAGTTTGCTTGTCTGGTGCTTCAGTGATAATTTGTCTTCAACTATTGTGTCTGTAGGTTCAGGTACAACCACTTCAGCATTAACACTGGGCTTATATTCTTCCAGTTCTGGTTTCACTTCTTCAGTGTCACTGATTTTACCTGAGACATCACCCTCACTTCCATCATCTGGTTGAACCGTATCTTCAGTTGTGTCACTGGTTTTATCATCTGGTTTAACCTCATATTCAACTGACTCACTGGCGTTATCATCTGATTTAACCTCATCTTCAACAGTCTCACTAGTCTTTTCATAAGCTATTTCTTGTTCTTCGGGTGTTTCTGGTTCTTTAGTTGGTTTTCTTGAATCCTTATCATCATCTGTTGACTCCTTGTCACTGCTTGATGAGCTGGAATGAGAAGATTTGGAACTTTTTGAAGACGAGCTTGATGAACTTTTTTTTCTGAAAAATCTTTTAACAGGCGATTTTGACTCGCTGCCCTCTTCAGTTTTCTTTGTTTTTTCATCATCACTGCTTGTACTGGAGTCACTTTTCGTGCCAAATGTTGGTGATGCAGATGAAATAATTTCCTTTTCAACAACAATTACTTCTTCAGTTAGTGTGGTTTTATCACCTGCATCAGTTTCTTTTTCTGGTGTTTGAGTAATAGTTTGTTCTTCAACAATTGTTTCTGTAGGTTCAGGTACAACCACTTCAGCATTATCTATATGCTGATCTTCTTCCAGGTCTGGTTTCACTTCTTCAGTGTCACTGATTTTACCTGAGACATCACCCTCACTACCATCATCTGGTTTAACCTTATCTTCAATTGTGTCACTAGCTTTATCATCTGGTTTAACCTCATCTTCAACAGTCTCACTGGTCTTTTCATCAGCTACATCTTGTTCTTTGGGTGTTTCTATTTCTTTTGTTGGTTTTCTTGAATCCTTATCATCATCTGTTGACTCCTCGTCACTGCTTGATGAGCTTGAATGAGAAGATTTTGAACTTTTTGAAGATGAGCTTGATGAACTTTTCTTTCTAAAAATCCTTTTAAGAGGCGATTTTGACTCGCTGCCTTCTTCAGTTTCCTTTGCTTTTTCTTCATCACTGCTTGTACCAGAGTCGCTTTTTGTGCTAAATTTTGGTGATGCAGATGAAGTAATTTCCTTTTCAACAACAATTAACTCTTCAGTTGGTGTGGTTTTATCACCTGCATCAATTACTTTTTCGGTTGGTGTGGTTTCATCACCTGCATCAGTTTGCTTGTCTGGTGCTTCAGTGATAATTTGTTCTTCAACTATTGTGTCTGTAGGTTCAGGTACAACCACTTGAGCATTGTCCCCGGGCTTATCTTCTTCCAGTTCTGGTTTCACTTCTTCAGTGTCACTGATTTTACCTGAGACATCACACTCACTTCCATCATCTGGTTGAACCTTATCTTCAGTTGTGTCACTGGTTTTATCATCTGATTTAACCTCATCTTCAACAGTCTCACTAGTCTTCTCATCAGCTACATCTTGTTCTTCGGGTGTTTCTGGTTCTTTAGTTGGTTTTCTTGAATCCTTATCATCATCTGTTGACTCCTCGTCACTGCTTGATGAGCTTGAATGAGAAGATTTAGAACTCTCTGAAGAAGAGCTTGATGAACTTTTTTTTTCTGAAAAACCTTTTAACAGGCGATTTTGACTCGCTGTCTTCTTCACTTTCTTTTGCCTTTTCCTCATCACTGCTTGTACCAGAATCACTTTTTGTGCTAAATGTTGGTAATGCAGATGAAATAATTTCCTTTTCAACAACAATTACCTCTTCAGTTGGTGTGGTTTTATCACCTGCATCAGTTTCTTTTTCTGGTGTTTGAGTAATAGTTTGTTCTTCAACAATTGTTTCTGTAGGTTCAGGTACAACCACTTCAGCATTATCTATATGCTGATCTTCTTCCAGGTCTGGTTTCACTTCTTCAGTGTCACTGATTTTACCTGAGACATCACCCTCACTACCATCATCTGGTTTAACCTTATCTTCAATTGTGTCACTAGCTTTATCATCTGGTTTAACCTCATATTCAACTGACTCACTGGCGTTATCATCTGATTTAACCTCATCTTCAACAGTCTCACTAGTCTTTTCATCAGCTACTTCTTGTTCTTCGGGTGCTTCTGGTTCTTTAGTTGGTTTTCTTGAATCCTTATCATCATCTGTTGACTCCTTGTCACTGCTTGATGAGCTGGAATGAGAAGATTTGGAACTTTTTGAAGACGAGCTTGATGAACTTTTTTTTCTGAAAAATCCTTTTAACAGGCGATTTTGACTCGCTGCCTTTTTCGGTTTCCTTTGCTTTTTCCTCATCACTGCTTGTACCAGAGTCACTTTTTGTGCTAAATTTTGGTGATGCAGATGAAGTAATTTCCTTTTCAACAACAATTAATTCTTCAGTTGGTGTGGTTTTATCATCTGCATCAATTACTTTTTCGGTTGGTGAGGTTTCATCACCTGCATCAGTTTGCTTGTCTGGTGCTTCAGTGATAATTTGTTCTTCAACTATTGTGTCTGTAGGTTCAGGTACAACCACTTCAGCATTGTCACTGGGCTTATCTTCTTCCAGTTCTGGTTTCACTTCTTCAGTGTCACTGATTTTACCTGAGACATCACCCTCACTTCCATCATCTGGTTGAACCGTATCTTCAGTTGTGTCACTGGTTTTATCATCTGGTTTAACCTCATATTCAACTGACTCACTGGCGTTATCATCTGATTTAACCTCATCTTCAACAGTCTCACTAGTCTTTTCATAAGCTATTTCTTGTTCTTCGGGTGTTTCTGGTTCTTTAGTTGGTTTTCTTGAATCCTTATCATCATCTGTTGACTCCTTGTCACTGCTTGATGAGCTGGAATGAGAAGATTTGGAACTTTTTGAAGACGAGCTTGATGAACTTTTTTTTCTGAAAAATCTTTTAAGAGGCGATTTTGACTCGCTGCCCTCTTCAGTTTTCTTTGTTTTTTCATCATCACTGCTTGTACTGGAGTCACTTTTCGTGCTAATTTTGGTGATGCAGATGAAATAATTTCCTTTCACACAATTACTTCTCAGTAGTGTGGTTTATCACCTGCATCAGTTTCTTTTCTGGTGTTGAGTAATAGTTTGTTCTTCAACAATTGTTCTGTAGGTCAGGTACAACCACTTCAGCATTATATATATGCTGATCTCTTCCAGGTCTGGTTTCACTTCTTCAGTGTCACTGATTTTACCTGAGACATCACCCTCACTACCATCATCTGGTTTAACCTTATCTTCAATTGTGTCACTAGCTTTATCATCTGGTTTAACCTCATCTTCAACAGTCTCACTGGTCTTTTCATCAGCTACATCTTGTTCTTTGGGTGTTTCTATTTCTTTTGTTGGTTTTCTTGAATCCTTATCATCATCTGTTGACTCCTCGTCACTGCTTGATGAGCTTGAATGAGAAGATTTTGAACTTTTTGAAGACGAGCTTGATGAACTTTTCTTTCTAAAAATCCTTTTAAGAGGCGATTTTGACTCGCTGCCTTCTTCAGTTTCCTTTGCTTTTTCTTCATCACTGCTTGTACCAGAGTCGCTTTTTGTGCTAAATTTTGGTGATGCAGATGAAGTAATTTCCTTTTCAACAACAATTAACTCTTCAGTTGGTGTGGTTTTATCACCTGCATCAATTACTTTTTCGGTTGGTGTGGTTTCATCACCTGCATCAGTTTGCTTGTCTGGTGCTTCAGTGATAATTTGTTCTTCAACTATTGTGTCTGTAGGTTCAGGTACAACCACTTCAGCATTGTCACCGGGCTTATCTTCTTCCAGTTCTGGTTTCACTTCTTCAGTGTCACTGATTTTACCTGAGACATCACCCTCACTTCCATCATCTGGTTGAACCGTATCTTCAGTTGTGTCACTGGTTTTATCATCTGGTTTAACCTCATATTCAACTGACTCACTGGCGTTATCATCTGATTTAACCTCATCTTCAACAGTCTCACTAGTCTTTTCATCAGCTATTTCTTGTTCTTCGGGTGTTTCTGGTTCTTTAGTTGGTTTTCTTGAATCCTTATCATCATCTGTTGACTCCTTGTCACTGCTTGATGAGCTGGAATGAGAAGATTTGGAACTTTTTGAAGACGAGCTTGATGAACTTTTTTTTCTGAAAAATCTTTTAAGAGGCGATTTTGACTCGCTGCCCTCTTCAGTTTTCTTTGTTTTTTCATCATCACTGCTTGTACTGGAGTCACTTTTCGTGCTAAATTTTGGTGATGCAGATGAAATAATTTCCTTTTCAACAACAATTACTTCTTCAGTTAGTGTGGTTTTATCACCTGCATCAGTTTCTTTTTCTGGTGTTTGAGTAATAGTTTGTTCTTTAACAATTGTTTCTGTAGGTTCAGGTACAACCACTTCAGCATTATCTATATGCTGATCTTCTTCCAGGTCTGGTTTCACTTCTTCAGTGTCACTGATTTTACCTGAGACATCACCCTCACTACCATCATCTGGTTTAACCTTATCTTCAATTGTGTCACTAGCTTTTTCATCTGGTTTAACCTCATCTTCAACAGTCTCACTGGTCTTTTCATCAGCTACATCTTGTTCTTTGGGTGTTTCTATTTCTTTTGTTGGTTTTCTTGAATCCTTATCATCATCTGTTGACTCCTCGTCACTGCTTGATGAGCTTGAATGAGAAGATTTTGAACTTTTTGAAGACGAGCTTGATGAACTTTTCTTTCTAAAAATCCTTTTAAGAGGCGATTTTGACTCGCTGCCTTCTTCAGTTTCCATTAAGCTTTTTCTTCATCACTGCTTGTACCAGAGTCGCATTTTGTGCTAAATTGATGA